CCCCCCCCCCCAAACCATCTTCTTTGCCTTCTTTAGCGACAAAAACGAAACAAAAACCGACCATGTCTGACGACGACGGGCAGATCTCGGTCTACGACGAGGTCGAGATCGAGGACATGACGTTTGACGAGGACATGCAGATCTACCACTACCCGTGCCCCTGCGGCGACCGGTTCCAGATCGCGCTGGCGGACCTGCAGGACCGGGAGACGGACATCGCCGTGTGCCCGAGCTGCAGCCTCATGATCCGCGTCATCTACGAGGTCGAGGACCTCTGGAGGGAGAAGGAGGAGGAGCCCGAGCCCGAGCCCGAGAAGGCCCAGGCCGAACAGGCGGCGGCGGCGCAGGTCCCCGTCGCTGCGTGAGGGAAAAGCGTATCGAGCATCAAACATGCAGGAGGGAGGGAGAGAGAGAGAGAGAGTGGAAATACCACGAATACAACGGCTAGGGACAGACGGGCTCTCTTCGATCTCGACATAAGATGCCCTCTACATACCTCACACCAAGGGGACACCAGACAAGGCTTGTCCGAGTTTTCGACCCCCCGGGGCCAGATCAATCCAAGGCGAGATAGACCCGCGAGGCAGCAGTCGAGCTGCATAGTCAGACTCGGGATGGCGACCGATGTTCGCCGCCTGGCTACTGGCATACCATGGAATGGAAGGCTATCGGCTGCCAGAGCGGATGACGCCGGATGACTCAGCCCTACCCGTTCAGTCATACCATGCCAGCCAGAGCATTGTCTGCCGCCTCGGCAGGGCGCAGCTCTATCAGGACGTCAATGTTGCGAAAATGGCGATAATCGGCAGGATCCCACTCTATGTGTACATAGATGTTTGTGTGGTGTATTGCAAGTAGGATATTAGCATTAATGTAGCCGGCCCTTGGGCCAGCCTACTGGCACAGTAACAAATGCCCCATCTAACACCTCTAACTCATGTCTCATGCCCTGCTGCCATGCCCGTGGACACCAATGCTGTCCTCAAAACAGAGACTTCTCAACCCGAGACATGCTCTTTTCTCCTTTGAACGCCTGTAAAACGCCTTAGAGCACCTGCTCTGTGGAAATGCTTATCCTGTGGCCCCCCCCCCCCCCCCCCCACCACCATTGATATGTGTAATGACACACCCAGTGCTCCAGTGAAGACGGACCGAAAAGAGACTCAGATGGCACGCTTTCGCTGCAAAAGAAGAAAAAAAAAGGAAGAGCAAGGTAGGCCGCAGCAAATCCTCTGCCTCACAGGATCATCACGCCGAGGGCGCAGAAGATGACCATGCCCATCATGGAGCTCTCAAAGGAGAGCTGTTCACCGGCGGCCTTGATGCTCGAGGGGGTCGGCTCGGGCGTCCCTGTCAGAACTGACGTCTGTGTCACAGACGAGTTGGTGCCATTGGTGGTGATGTGAGGATCTGAAAACAGTAGTTCTGTTAGATTCTTTATCATACATCCGCTTGGAAGGTTGGCCAGAGAGGGTAACTTACGGGGCACCGTCGTGACGCCGGTCACGCTGACTATGGTCGGCTCGCTGGGCAGGCTCGTCGTCGTGGTCAGGTCTGTCCTGGTCTGGATGCTGAAGATCGGGCCCTCGGCGGAGGAGGAAGCTGAGTCTTGCGCGTTGGCCACGCGGCATGCGCCGACAAGGACGACGCCGACCACGGATTGGATAGACGAGAGCTTCATTGCGGCTGGGACAGGCTGTGCTTGCTGTCTGCCGATCGAGTGCAGGCGAGGAGCGGGTTGAGCTGGGTAGCAATGAGGAATAAGCAGTACAGATTATGGCCAATGCTTTGTTGGCCTCGGCCTCGTCCTGGCAACCACAGGTAACGGCGAGGAAGAAGAGATAGAAGATAGAGGTGGTGGTGTTGTTGTTGTTTTCCTTTTGGTCGGGTCCGTGCCGTCAAAACTGCGAATGCAGATGCGAAAAGCCAACTAATACAGCGCCAGGCGGTCGAGAATAAGGTTATCAACAGCGGATGGACGGAGATAGAGAGAGAGAGAGAGAGGTCTCGGACCCAGAGGTTGGAGAGAAGAGACTCAGTCGCTAGTGGGTGTTTGCTCTTATGCAGCCTGCGCAATGGCTCATCGATCCAGGGTTGGCGTATGTATGGTTCTGTCTGACAAGCCCGATGTCTCCTTGACAGGCCAGTGTGCACTGCATGCAGAGAGTCCGGAGGTCGGGGTTGGGGACGGGGTGGTGGTCCTCCTTTTCTATCATCCGCACCCCCCGGCGAGGGTTGAAGATGTCCGTAGATGTACTGGTGTATGTATATACTCGCTCGACTCAGTTGGAGGGAAAAAGGTTTCGAGCAAGATTGTGTCACGACAGCAGGAGAAGATGTGGGTGCAGTAGGTATATGATCTGGCCAAACGACATCATTCCGTTTCCTCTCCCGTCTCGGCGACCCTCAATCGCGCATGTGTCGACCGGGGTGAGGAGGATGCATGCATCTTTTTAAACAGCCTGCTCCATAAAAAGATCAGAGTCTTGCTCGGGGAAATACCAACCAATGCTACATGTACATGCTATCCTACCTAATGCAGTAGTGGTGTAGAGAAGAAAAAAAAGAGAGAGAGGCTCGCACTAGAGCTGGCAAGCCAACCAAGAAAGCGGAACCCCCACCCACCCACACCATCGCTGCAAGATCGACACGGCCACCACTAGAGCAGGTACCTCTCTGCACAGGATTGTGTGGCCTTTTTTTTGCGTGGCTTTGCATGGCAACGGAGGCTGTTGCTGCTCGAACCTCTTCGGAACTCTCCAGCACCAGCCCCGCCAGGTCTGCCTGCATTGCTATTTACAGTACCGTCACTGCGCAAACCGTTTTGGAGCTTCATGCGCCGCCCGCGTCGATCAGCGATCAGCAGCAGCGACTGGCCAAGCAGGCACCAGCTGAATCAGAATGTACGGAGTAAGGAATAGAGAGAGAGAGAGAGAGAGAGAGAGAGAGAAGAGGCATGCGCATCGCAAACCACCAGGACAGAAACATCCAACACATCCCACCCATCATGCCATTTCTCGCCCGCTCCATTTGTGCAATAATGCTCGCCAATGCTGTTCTTCTCGACCTGGCTGGCTTCGGTCGAGCAGGCGACCGAGCACAGCGACTACGGAGTAAGTACCTACCTAGACAGACATCTGCCTATCTTGGCTCCGGTACTCCTGCGCAGCGCAAGAGTCTGATGGGTCCGTACGTGGGGGGTTTTAGGTTGACAAGGATCTTCAGTTCGACTGTGGCTCCAGTCTTGCGTCATCGCCTCAGAACCAGCTGCGCACTCGATACACTGGCTGCTGACAAGACCCAGAGGTGAGGCAGCCCAAAGCAGACTACCACACTAGCACACTAGAGCCACACTTTCTTATCTTTACTCCGTGCAGTGCGTACCTACTCCGTACTTCTTGTCCATCCTCTCTGGACAGCAAGGAAGAAAAGATACCTTGTCGAATGGACAGGTGGTGTGGTGCGTCGCTCCTTCTTCGGTTCTGCAGCAACCTTGTTTCTGACTAGCGTTCCCGTCGGAAGTAGCAGGGGTCGCTGCCAAGTTTTTCTTCACTCTTGCTCGCTAGCCAACTCTACTTTGCTAAGGTTGTTTAACCACCTCAGACAGTCTGCAAGGAGAATGACTACTCCGGCACCCCCAGATGGCTACTCCGGCACCCCTGAGAAAAATACCTTTTTTACCACCAAAACCTCCACTATTTCAAAAGTCACTAAACTGGGGCCTTATCAATTCAGATCCACATCCCAGATAACCCGAACCGACCCATAACCCCAATACTAACCACTAACCCTAACCTCCTAACCACTAACCCTAAGATATCTTAATAAAAAATAGATCATCTTGAAGCTTGAAAGTTGAGCTTTCTAATGGTATTGATTTTATTGAGAGATGTGCCTTGGTTTATTTTGAGTTTTGAGAAATGTTGTTTGCCAAGGCGCTAATGGGGGTGCCGGAGAAGCCATCTGGGGGTGCCGGAGTAGTCATTCTCGTCTGCAAGGCACTCCCGTCCCGTTCCTGGTGCAAAAAAATTCTTGCTTTTTTTTTTTTTTGTGGCGGCCAGCCAGCAGCCCATCGTGGCTGAACATCCTAACCGGGAGATGCGGTCCTCATCTCCGATGCGATTTAACCGCCGTCTGCTCGAGTCAATCAACACAACCATCCCGTCTATTCGATAATACATGCACCACTCTCATGACTTGTCCAGTATCGACACCTCAAATCGGGCCACATCGATTGGCCCCGTCCCTTGCATGAACGACACCTGATGACTGGGATGACTAGCTCTCGGGTACTTTTTTGGATACTCTTTGTCGTATTTCATCTAGATACTCACTCTACTTGACCTGCCCAAGTACTCTTGACCAAGTCTTGTTTCGTTTTCCCGTCTCAGTCCCAAGTTTCCTCATGTGCACGTCTGTCAAAGAAGCAAGTTGCTTTATCTGGCTCTTCGTCTAGTTCCCATGTAGCTCTTATCTAGCTTTTTTTTTTTTGTATTCCGTTTACCCACCTCGTTTCTCATGCGGCAACATTCTCAAAGAAGAAGGTCGGGTCCCCTGTAGTGTTCAGATAGGTTAGTCAAACCGTCGCTCGATGATGCGTGGTTCAAGAAAGAAATAAAGAAAGGGGGGAAAAAACATACCGGGAACTGCATTCTCAGCCAAAGCCGACGTGATCTCAACCTCCTTGCCGCCATCCATGAGGTCCTTGCCCTTCTTGCCGCCCTCCTCGACGAGGATGACCGCCACCGACTGGAAGCCCGCCGTGCGCTTGAGGCCGGGCACCATGGCCAGCAGCGTCGCCTGCTCGTCAAAGGCCAGCTTGCGGTTGAGCACGCTGTCGGCCTCCTCGCCCGTCTGCAGCCGCCGCTTGAGGTTCTGCACAAACGGCATCGCCTTCTTCATCTCGCCCATCTTGGCGATGCGCGGGTTCATGGCCTTGTCGTCGACCGACCGGGTCGCCGGGTCCCACATCTCCTTCATGAGCTCGATGTACTTCTCCTGCCAGGCCGGGAACTTGTCCGTCGTGTAGATGCTCAGCTTCTTGGGCTGCTTGGGGTCGTAGCTCGTCGCCTTGCCCTTGGCCCGCCGCTTGAGCTGCTGGCTCTCGGCCGAGTTGATGCTGCTCGCCGTGCCCTTGGCGTAGTCCCACTCCGCCGACAGGCCCGCCTTCGCCGCCGGCACCTCGGGCCAGCGGGCGAGCTGGATCGACTGCGGCTTCTTGAGCACCTCAAGCCAGATGTACTCGCTCCAGTGGGGCGTGATGGGGGTGAGCATCAGAGCCTGCAGCTCGATGTACTCGTAGATCAGATCCTTGTGCAGGGCGATGCCGGCCGCTGCGCAAGACTCACGGTAGAAGCTCAGCGCAGAGAGGACGTTGTACCACGAGCTCTGGACGGCAAGCTTGTAGTTCGTATCGACGTAGTGGCCCTTGGCTTCGTGCACCAGGCGGTGGAGCTCGTTGCGGAAGAGAGCATCCTGGAAGCTGTTCGTCGCGCCGGTACGGAGCTGCGCCTCATCCTTGAGGGTGTCCTCGATCCATTCTCTCGACGTGAACAGACGCAAGATGGTGGCGTCTGCTACATCCTCGTCGAAGTTGGCGTCTCCAATGGTGTCACCAGCATCGGCCAGAGCCAGACGCGTCGCGTCTGCGCCGAACTTCTTCGTCGCCTCGTCCAGGGTCATGAAGTTGCCAGTGCTCTTCGACATCTTCTGGCCGTTTAGGAGTAGATGGCCATTGCATCGAATCGACTTGATCCAGTACTCTCGAGGGAAGATGGCCAAGTGGTTGTAGATGCAGAAGGTCAGATGGTTGTTGATGAGATCCTTGCCACTGACGCGGAGATCCAGCGGGTAGAAGTACTCAAACTGGCGCCGCATGTCCTCGAGAGTCTCGCGAGGGATGCCACTGGCCAGAACGTCCTCGCCCATATCGCGGCGGCAGAAGAGATAGTCCCAGACAGGATCGATCATCTGCTCGGCGGCAATGTTGCCGATACCCTTCTGCCTACCAAACATGTCCGAGTGCAGGTAGTGCGCAAAGGTATAGTAGCTCATGTAGATCGTGCTGTCCGACAGACTCTCCACCAGGAACTGGGGATCCCAAGGAAGCTTGGAACCCAGACCATAAGTCCGAGCGCAGGCCCATTGGTTAAGCCAGTTCAGCACACCCACGAAAGCATGCTTGGTCTCCGAGGTATACGTGTTGAGACCCTTGCCATCTGCATTCTCGACAAATTTGAGTGCTTCCCGCCTCCAAGAGTCCTCGCCGTAGTCGAGGTACCACTGGTCGAGCAGGGCAGTGATGCACTCATCGCCGGAGCGGCTGACAACCTTCTTCTCGGGCTCAGCGTAGGCAAAGGCCTCGCCAGCATCGATAAGGCTTTGCCTAACAAGCGGCTTGGCCTTTTCAACGCTCAGTCCGGTGTGGTCGCCAACCTTCATGACTCCCTTGTAGAAGCCCTCGGTGTATGCCAGGTTCTTGGCCTCTTCCAGCTGCTTGACGTCCTTGGGCGAAGCAATCTTGAGCTTCTTGACCAGGAAAGGCGCGCAGAGGTCACCGTACGAAGGGGTGTCGATAATAGGAACGATCTCCTTCTCGGCCCACTCCTTCTGGATGCCATAGTATTCAGGCTTCTTGGCAAGCTCAGTGACGGTACAGAAATCGTCAGGGCTGTCAGAGGGTACAGAGGTGACCACACCAGTACCCTTGGTAGGCAGGACATTCTCCATAGGAAGAACGCGAACGCCGTCCTTGTGAACTGACAAGGGAGCGTTGACCAGGGTGCCAACCATGTCTGAGCCCACAAGCTCGGCGGCTGCCTCGGGGATGGCCCCATCGGCCGCTAGAATGCCCTGGAAAGCCATGTTCTTGGCTGCCCGGGCAGTGACAACATAGTATTCCTTCTCGGAGGCCTTGAAGAGACCGTACGTGATCTTAGGGCCGATGAAGCAGCACGTTTGGCCGTACATGGTCTCCGGGCGCAGGGTTGCAGGGACCAAGAACACGCTTGCATCTTCAGGGATCTTGCCCTTGATGGCGTCGGCGGCCTTGGAGGACCACTCCAGAACACGGAGCTTAAGAGCCGTATATTCTTGGGGTCCGACACCCTCGCCTTCACTTCGGTCGTGATCCATGCAGGGCTGGCCATCCTTGACGGAGTAGATAGTGTACCTCTTGCCGAACTTGACCTTCTTGAGGTCACGGAGCAGAGTCATTTGCCAAGAAACGAAGCGGTCGTAGTAGGGATTGGCATCCGTCGTGACAAACTGGCGGCGCCAGTCAATACGGCAGCCCAGAGACGTGAGATGCTGCTTGCACAGCGGCGGGAAGTACTCCAGCCAATAGCTCGCATCGGAAAACCTGTGAATCTCCTCCTTGGGGATGCCCATGGTCTTCATGATCTGGAACTGGTACTTGGCTTTGACCGTCTTGGCCGCGGCCTTGCCTTTCGTGGCGGAGAACTTGGTCACGTCCTCGCGCTGGCTTCCTTGCTGTGCGACGGCTTTCGTGGCATCCACCTCGACAACCTCCTCTTCCTCCTTGTAGTTCTCGAATTCTTGGCCAAACAACTTGATCTCGTCGGCGAGCTTGTCGGCACAAGCCTTGATAGGAAGGCCAGTGCAGTGGAATCCTTGCGGGAACAGGGTCCTCTTTCCCAGCATTCTGTTGAAGCCGATGGTGAACTCGACCTTGCTATAGCTGAAGGCATGTCCGACGTGGAGAACACCGTTCCTGTGAAAGATCGCGGTCAACAAACGATCAACCCGGTCCGAACACTCCCCCAGAACCACGGCTTACATGTAGGGGTATGCGATGCATCCAAAGTATTTGGGGTACTTCTCCCGGAGCTCTGCAGGCGAGATGGTGTGAAGAGGGAAGTCCCTGGTGGACGGTGCATCCGGCTCGAAGAGGTGGTCTTCTTCCCAAGCTTGCTGGTACTTCTTCTCGATGGTGATCAGGCTATCGCGCTTCTCGGTCTACAAAATCATGAAAGTCAGAGAATTGAGACTTGAAAAATGCCGGACAAGGGATTTCTGAGGAAATACATACGCCCTTGAGCTCCTTCGTCTTGGACGCAGTGGCAATCTGGAGTCCAGACATGGCTTGGGTAGGGGCCGCAGCGGCCATGTTGACAGTTGTCGCAAAGGCAATACGGAGCGTTGCAGGGTATTGATCGCTGATCTACCAGGTTATGACCATTATTTGGCAGTCTCTGGCAGAAATCGGCGTGTTGCAAGCAAGTAAAATGCCGTCCGCTGTGTATGAACCGTCGCTGTTTGAGTCACTGGTTCTGCCGGACACACAAAATTTCAACAGCACTTTAGTTTCGGCGGCGGTTTTGACCTGCCCGGCCTAGGAGGGGCACTTCAATTCCAGCTGGGAGCGATCGCGGGGTGCACGCCAGCCAGCATAGGGGTGCGCATGGACCCTCTTTAGCGGTGGCTGGTGCGCTCTGATTCTCGATAACCAACTGTGGCGCATCCCCCATCATCAATCGCTTTTGCGCACTCTCTCGGCAATTCGCGGCCTCCCAGGATTCTTGAAAGAACGACCTGCAGAACTACCAGTCGGTCCACGATTTGTCACGGCTCGCTCCTCGGTGCATCATGTTGCCAACACTGGTGCGGAGGCTGGCGGCAGCTCCGAAGCCGAAATTGACCATCCAGAACAACCCCTACAAGACCAAGAAGGTGTGGCCGCCAGACTTTTCCAAGCTGTCGCCGCATGAGCAGTTCAAGTTTGAGAAGCGGTACAAGAGGAGGGTCAAGCTTGCATCGGCTCGCCCAAAGTGGAACAAGATCATACAACTCACGCAACTCTTCAGCATCACATGTACGGTGCCCTGCGTCGTCGTCAGTCAGCAGTCAGTGGGCTAACTGGCGTCATAGTTGTTGTCATCTACAGCGTCCTATTTATGGACTGGAAGGGAGAAAGTCAACCTTTCGAAGGGGTAAGTGCATATTTCAACTGGGTATGCTCAAGCCCACATTGTCGGCTCACATACTAACTACACCTTCTCGCACAGGTGCGGAGGAGATTCTGGGAGACGATGGGGTCCTTTTCACCCTCCGAGCGGTTCGAAAGACGGAAGGACATAGACCATCCCTCGACCACGACGAAATAATGTTGCCTGGGGGCCGGATATTTTGATCATGTATTGCATCTACCGGAGTCTGGTGTCGGATACCCATATCAAATCAGCTGCATTTGCCTGAATACCAATCATCTCTTCTCTTACGCTGCGTGGTCGTGGCCTTTGCAGTAGGCCTCGTGAATTCAATTGCCCCTGGTGTTTAATCCTCTCGAATCTTGTGTATCTCTCAAGGCTTTTGCTTCCGCTACTCAACATGTCTCTGGAGTCGCGCTTTCAAGGCTGTCTTATCGACCGTGCCAGACAAAGTTGTTACCAATGCCCAGCCCCGAACCCAGGCCCGACCCGCGCCCTTCGTTGACTGGCCTCTTTGCAACCGTCCCTTGTGCCTTTACGCCTGCCACAATGCGATCAAGGCTGGTCTCTATTACGACACCACCTATGATCATCTCACTCAATGTGGAGTGCAGAGTTTCAAAGTTGAAGATCAAGTCTAGCTCGCAGACATTTTCGAATAGCTTGTCCAAGGCTTCAACGTAGACCTGTATGAGGTCGATAAGCGCGAGGGGCGACTCGGTAGCTGTTGAAATGATAATAAAGTACAGCGTCGCGTAGTGTCTGTAGGTCACCAGCGATGGCACGTCGTTCTGCTGTTCTCCGGGGGCGTGCGAGGTGCCCGAGGCGGCGAGGAGGGGAGGAAGAGGTAGGAAGTTGCAGGAGCCTGCCGGCCGGTTCGAAACAAGGGTAAAAATCTCGGAGATGAGCCTCTGTTGTATACTCGTATCCTGTGTGGCCGGCGCATATTAGCTTTCGCTGCATATTGCAGAGCGATATCAACTAGGTCTCGAGATGGTGATGTTACCAGCTGGGTGTAGAACTTGGTCAGCCGCGGCTGACCCTGGCCATTAAAGACCAGAAAGGCGTTGATCATAATGAGCAGTCTCTCATGTCAAGGACCTCATTTCTAAGCTGTCCCCTAGCTCGGCTCAAAGAGGCAGTGGTGGAGGAGCGAGAGTTTAGCACCGCCAGTGATGCGATGCGATGCGATGGGCTTGCAGCGAGGGAGGGTTCAACCTCAGTGGTGGGGTTGCACTTTGCTCAGGCACGCGGCCTAATAGAGCCACACCTTGCCTGGTGGCGTGCCTCATCCTAGAGCGAGCAAGAGGCCAAGAAAGCTGGAGGAGTGCCATTAGCGGATTCCGTCACCTCAACCCACCCCAATCGCCTGATGCCGTTTCCAATCACGGCAGTCTCAAAGCTCGATGATTGATTGCGCCGTCCAGGGTCCTCAGGGTCAATCAGTCCACCCTCGTCCGCAAGATCACGTCCAAGACTTAGTACCACTGCTTTTAAGCGACGCCCTTCTCAGAGACACACAACACTGAAGCGATTCAAGGCTAGAGCCCGTCAATCTCTTCTGCTTCCCCACCCGCGTCGCATCGTCATCATGTCCCGACCGGTGCTCAACGCAAGCCGCTTGGCCCGCCGCGGTCTTGTCGGCGCTCTTCGAAGCTCCCGCCCAGCCGCCAGGAGCACGCCTTTCCTGACGCTCGGCCGCATCGCCGGCTCGGCGCCGCTCCACACCCGAAAGTTCATGTCAACAAGCTCAGCCATGCAGAAGGGCATCCTGCCGGACTCCGAGAACCCTCCCGCCAAGCAAGCGGAGGATTCGCCAGTCACGGCCACTCCGGCTGAAATTTCCGAGGGGGAGTACCATCAGCTGGCCGATGAGTATCTCGAGACAATCCTCAGCAAGTTCGAGGAGCTCCAAGATGAGCGTGAGGATGTGGATGTTGAATTCGCGGTAAGTTTGCCCGGTGCCGTCCCCTGCGAAGGTCCGCAAGACTGACACGGTCTCCTAGGCTGGCGTGCTGACTCTCAGCTTCCCGTCCATCGGAATCTACGTCATCAACAAGCAACCGCCCAACAAGCAGATCTGGCTCTCCTCGCCCAAAACAGGACCCAAGAGGTACGACTGGGTCGTCCTGGGCGACGGGCAGCATCAGAAGCAAGGCACGGCTTCGGGAGACTGGGTATACCTCCGCGACATGCAAACGCTGAACGACCTTTTCCTCGACGAGATTGGAGTAGATCTTAGCATGCCTATTCCACATTACGGCGAGTGATTCTGCCCACATGTGGCGGCTGTTCCTTCTCTTGATCATCTATGACTCTTGCTGCGAGAATTTATTGCATGTATTTTTCACTATGAGCGTTGTTTTTGCTTATCATTGATGGCCCCATCATGATTCTCATCTTCTGAGGAGAGTACTGGCCTGGTTTTGTCCAGATCTTTCCAGGATGGCTAGATGGTCATCGATCAGTCACCCGTTTGTACTGGCGGTGTATTTGCGACGTCATCTGCTACGAGAGTGTTTAGCACAGTGATCCAGCTAGTAACTTGTATCATACACAGCTTAGCCGGCTTGAATTTACACATGAGATATTCCTCTTCATCGCTCGCAGCCCAACAGTGACTGTTGAGTTTTGCTCCAAACTCGGTCGCTCGTTGATTCTCGTAGGTAAACTTACTCAAGTGCAGTCCAATCTTAACTAATATCTCTAGCAATAGCCTCCGCCAATGTGCGATCCAGTAAGACACCATGCTTGGGCCGAATGTATATGCTATTGGTAACGCTCAGATCAAGGGGCTGATGGGCAACTTTGAAGGGCTTATATACGAGAAATTCAAAGACTTGCCGAACTCGTCTGTCTGATAGACTGAGACATCTGCCCTTGAATATTGCATAGAAATGGAAGCAATCCACAAATGCGACATGGAAAAGACTGTACATAAACGCCCACGCTACTGCTTCAAAGGGGAAAAAAAGGGGGTATTTGACATCCAGGCCCGCTCCATCATCTCCATCACATCACTCGCTCGCAGGCGCGGCCGCTTCCTCCTGCGGCTGATCCGCCGCGTCCTCGCCCACCGGGTCCTCCGGGATGATACCGTTCTGCCTCTCCCAAACCTCGCGCCTGATCCGGTCGTCCTTGGCCTTGCGTGCGCGTTCCACCTCTTCGAATCCGCCAGACTTCTTCAGCTTGCCCTCGCCGACGAAGTCGGTCAGTTCCTTCATGAGAGGGTTCACGCGCCGGCTCTCCAGCTCCTTCTGCCTCAGCTTCTCGGCCCGCTCGATAGCTTCCAGGCGGTCCTCGTGGTTGGGCTGCAGAGCCCGCACCTCGCCGAGGACGCCTTCCTTGGCGGTGCTCGGATCGACGCCGACATTGTCTCCGATCCTGTTCAAGCCCTTGGAAAAGGCGCGGGCGGGAGCTGCAGCAGCGCCCGTGCCGACATCTTTCATCTGCTCCTTTGTAGCCTGCTCGACCAGCGCAAATGTTTCGGATGCCTTCTCGAGGTCGTCACGCAGGTCGACCATCAGGTCTTCCATGAGTCTCAGCTCGTCCCTGCCTTGGCAGACGTCCTCCAGCTCCTTCTCCCAAATCTTGGTCCAGACGGGCTTCTCGCGCTTCATGTAGTCCTCCATCTTCTTGAGCTCCTTGGTCAGAGTCGTAATATCCTTGGTCACAGTCTCAAGTTGGCGTGGCAAGGGTCGGACACCACGCATAACAACGTCCTTGCGCAGATCCTCCACAAGGTCCTGGAGATCGTCGACCTTGGTGACAAGCCGGTCCGAGTCGGTGTTGAGCTGCTTGCGGCCACTGTTGACATATGCCTGACCCGAGTCCCCGTCGACATCGGGCACAGATGCTTTCGCAGCAGCAACTTTAACGTTGTTGGCCTTGTTCCGGAGTGCTGTCATTGAGCCTTGCACCTCCGACTGGAAGTTCGAGTAGGTCTGCCGCAGGACTGCGAGATCACGGCGCAGGCTGTGAAGCTCAGACACATGGCTGGGATTAAGTTTACGCCCAGACACAGCCGCGGCTGCATTCCTTGGGGAGTCTGCAGGGGGTGTCATGGGCGGTGGAGGTGCCGCGGCGATGCGCGCCATGTCCTTCGCTGCCTCCTGCTGCCTGTCCGACACTCGTTGAAGGGCTGCACCCTGATCATCAACGTTTTGTTTGACCTCCTGCATCATCTTCTTGATAGACCCAAGACCTTCATCGATGTGCCGTTTGACTTCGTCCAGAGGCTCAATGTTGAGGACCAGAACGGTACGATCTTTGATATCTGATAGATCCTCGAGCTCATGCCGTACACCAGATATCGGGTCCTGAATATAGATCTCAGGCAGGTCCACGCCATTCTGTTGGGTGTTCCACGAGAACTTTTCGATAAATGCAAGCTGAAGTCGACCGATGGTGAGTTCACTGTAGCCTTCAGCCAACACAAACTTCTTGACCTTCGACTTATACTGGAGGAAGAGAGTGAGTTCTTTCGTGGATGGGGCAGCCCCTGGTTCTGAATCTACCGGATGGCTCTTGGTCGGTGTTGGCTCCACCAAAGGCACCACTGATTTCGTTTCTGAAGATTTGACGGGTGTGCCGTTAATCTCACCAAAATCGCCAACCATAGGCAAGACATCAGGCGGTGGGCCGTTCAGTGTTGCGCTCGGTTGGGGGTATTTGTCATCAGGCGTTTGCGCAGTAGGACTGTCGATGACATCTGAAGTCACGGCCTCCTTTTCCTCCGATACTCGACTCGGTGCTCTGACTGGTGAGGAGTCGGCACCGCCTGCCAGCGACTGGCTCGACTCATTACGGTTATGTTTGAGATTATCACGGATTTGTACAGCCCGCATGGATTCCCTCACTTCCCCACGGCCTCGGTTGGGAATCGGAGTATTCTGAGGAGGGAGAATAGGAACTCCATTGGCACCACTGCCGAGATGTTTCGAAATCTGATACTGTGAGTATCTTCGCGAAGCCCTCCTCTCCAGCTCTCCCCCCCGTTGAAGAGCTGCTAGAGCGCTCTGGGAGGATTTGGGTGGCGGTGGTGGTGGAGGGAAAGAGTCGATACTTAGATCATTCGCCGGAGGCCCAGAGGCTATGCTGGGTTCGTCGCTAGGATATGGTGGAAGAACGGGGATATTCTGCATAGTACTGCTGGACAATGTCGACTGCTCAGAGGTGATTGAGGCCTGTGACTGGTCGCGTTGTGCCGCAAATCGCCGACTAGGAGATGAGTTGAGTCTGCTCGCCGGCTCTTCTCGCTGCGTCTCCGGCCTGTATCCGTTCTCAAGTCCCTCGTTCAATAGAGAAGTTAGTCCAGAGTTCCCACTTCCAACCGTACTAGTGCTGGTCGTGCGGCCTACACTGGCTTCACTAGGTATTCCATTCTCCCTTTCCCGTGACTGCTTCTGCCTCAGTTTTTGCTGTTTGCGCTTCAAGCCGTGAAGGAGGTTGATGATGATGTCACGTATCCGCGGCAAGTACTTCTCGAGACTTTCGACGCTGGCTTCCTGGCTGAGAGTCGCTTCCAGGATATTCCGCAACAGCTCTGGGACATTGCCGAGATCTGAAGTGTCGACGTTGATAGCAGTAAACGCCCGGCACGCCATGTTGAATTCATATCCCAGCCGCACATAGACATCGGATACCTGCGTATCCGTCGCCTGCCCACGAGACCATTGCGTGAGGGTCTCGAGGAGTTGTTTCGTGGCAACAAGTAGGTGGGTGACACTTTTTTCGATCTGAGACAAAGGCATGTTGGATCCAGAGCCACTCGAGGCCTGTCGAGAGAGTGGGTTGTTAGATTCTGGCTCAGAGACAATTTGGGGATCGAGGGAAATGTGAGAGGAGTCTGATTCAGAGGCATGCTGTCAAGGTCTCAACGAAATAACATGGCTACTCACGTTTGCTCTCCTGGAGCTGCCACCACCACTGCTTCCTGCAGATCGATTCGAGGCTGTCGAGGAGCGACTTTGGACGGGACCGGCCATTCCCACAGCTGGAGACATTGATCGCGCTGGTATATGAGGAGGCGGGCCAGGCTCGGCACCTGGTGAACGCCGTTGCATAGATCTCGAGGGACCTGGTGCTTGCATTATCGATGGCTTTGAGTGCCCAACGTGGTCGCCTCCTGTTGCGCACAGCTCCACCAGGTCGGGATGAGGAGAGGGTGCAAGAGGTTGAGCGCAAGGCAGGCCTGTCGCTATGCTGTCTGAAAGATGGACAAGTCGCTCCAGAAGTATGAAAGCAATATGCGGACAAATACACAGGTGACGAGTCGAACTGGTACAGCAAATGCCCGATGGCCGTCTCAAGGTTAAAGTCTGGTAAAGCGCGGATGCGGAGCTTGCCGGACACTGTGTATTGGAAACGGCTGATGGGGCCTACTCGATCTGTTTTAAGGGACAATGCCTCACCATCAATCTCGACAGCTCCTCTACAGCACTCGCTTTTAGTGCCTACAGGTGACAAGGTGGCCCGTGTGTTTACTAAACAATGCCCCTGAAAAAATAGAGTGGTAGGCTACCTAAAACCAACCACCTGTGCCACCAATGCAACATTGAGTGAACTTACGCCACGTGTGGCTGAACAAGTCAAGTCCCAGCTCTGTGTGGAAAGCTGAATCATCACAGCTTTCATCACCTTGGGGTGGCGTCAATCGCCTGCCATTTTCTGGATGTGAGCAAGTCCTTCTCAGCATGCTTGTCGTGTCGACTCCATCGGCGCTTGGTTTCATGGGCTCTGCTGTGGCTGACCTTCAAGTCCTCAAGTCGAGGCCTGATAAGCTTTGTGAGTGGTGAGTACCTACTTGTAGGCAAACCACCTACTAGAGTGGTCTACCTCCTGTTAGAATTCCTCTGCAGACCATCACCACATATTGGTTGCCATGACGTAGCCCTGGATGAATCATATATTTCGGCACCGAACGTCACCCATCACCAGAACAGCTTTATCAGTGAGTGCTTCTAATTGCGCATTGTAGAAGACACTGATGAAAGCTTTGGCGTGGTTCGCTCCAGCATTGGAAACTAGGCTGCCTATTCGCATTCGCATTCGTCACTACGTCCTGTTCGGCTTACGTCGACCTACCACCGACTCGGTAACGGTCTCAACCTGACTTGGGCGCAAATGAAAAGACCGTATTTCACGTTAATGCCCGGAAGGTTTGTTGTGTCGCTAAACCCCGTGCTAATACGCCAGCCATGAAGTCTATTTTCGGACCTCACCGGTCATTGTCTTTCTTCGGCCTCGGCCTCGGTCGCAACGCTAAAGCGTTCAATAGTCGGTGTTGGCCGTTCACTATGTTGTCAGGTACTTAAGTCGGCATCATTCCAGTCCGAACTTAATTCCAACCTGCCAGCCATCCAGCCCAAATGCTCTTCCTTTCATAGTTACCCCAATCGTGCTCACAAGCTCGTTCATCGCTATTGGTTCTTGAGCGGATTCAATATGCCAACGCCAAGAATCGCCATCGTTGGCGCCGGCCCAGCAGGCTGCATGCTGGCTCGCCTCCTCCATCTCTCTGATATTGACGCCGTAGTGTTCGAGGGCGAGCAGTCGCCAGATTATCGCTCGCAGGGCGGAACGCTTGACCTCCACACCGAAACAGGCCTTGCCGCGATGCAAGATGCCGGGCTTTTCGACAAGTTTTTGGAAAAGGCAAGATACGACGGCGAGTATCTCCTCAGATCCAACCTCCATCTGAAGCCCTTGATGGTCAAGGGTACATCAAATCCCGGAGAGTCAAGATTTGGAGGACAGAGGCCAGAGATTGACCGAGCCGAACTGCGGCGCATCTTGACCGAGAGCCTGCCAGAGGGCATGATTCAGTGGGGCCATCATCTCAAAGCAGTTTCTGAAGATGGCACTCTCACCTTCGACCATACTGTGCGCTCAGGATTTGACCTCGTGATCGGTGCCGAAGGAGCTTGGAGCAAAGTGCGCAAGGTCCTTTCCCAGCAGGAACCAATCTTCGTGGGGATAGGCGCACATTCGCTCCGGGTACCGGATGCAGCAAATACGGCACCTGAGCTCTACAAACTTGTCAACCGGGGGAGTGTCTTCGCTCACGACAAAGGTCAGATGCTGGCCGTTCAGATGATGGGGGACGATTCGATCAATGTCTATGCCAATTTCAGAACAGACGACCCAAATTGGTTCAAAAACTGCGGATATGATCCGTCCAACCTGGATGAGGTCAAGACACACATGCTGAGTTCCGATTCGATCTGGGCTGATTGGCATCCAACCCTCAAACAGGCCATATCTTTGGCTGAAGGTCCCTGCAGTGCGAGGAGTCTATACATGCTTCCTGTGGGCTTCAAGTGGCCACACAAGCGAGGTCTCACAGTCTTGGGCGACGCGGCCCATCTGATGTTGCCCTTTGCCGGTGAGGGCGTCAATATCGCCCTAGACGACGCGAGGAAACTGGCAAGCGCAATCATCAAGGCCGTCAACCATACGCCCAATGGAGACATATCGGCGTCAATTGACCGTGAAATCGCAGAATACGAAAAGGAGATGTGGCCCAGGACTGAAAGAGTGGCCAAATTGACAGATGGAGTCACTCAGTTAAACTTCTTCACCAACGCTCCCCCGGAGTCTGTCATTGCAGCATCAACCGCGATGCATGTTCGCTTCCACACGCCGTGGGTGCTGCATCCTCTGGCCACGGCGATGGTCTATACTTACTACTTCTTCAAACTGCGCTTTTAATGTTGGGCCGAAGCATTGGGGCGAGCAGGCGAGGGAGGTGGTTGCTCAGAGGAAACAATACCGTGATCTGCCCCCAGAGGAATTTCTCAAGCAAAGGAAAGGTTCTGATTTCGATTTTTAATGCTGGTCTGGGGGTCAGATCATGATGACAAGAAGGGTGTTCCAAGTCGAATACTGGATATCAGACTCGGCCACCTATCACTAATTTTGTTTGCTGGTTGACACGGTTTACCCCCTCGAATAGAATTCCATGAATAGCTTGAATATCCGAGTATGCATTCCTTTCCTTTCAATTGAGACCCTTTCCGATGTCAATCATTGCCCTGGCGATTACGATATCCGAGGCCAACCCGAAAGAAACGAGGAACTTGACTGGGTGTCAGAAACATTTGTTAGTGAAAGCGTGAAGCTACCCAGTGGCTACCTACCTTGCCTGCTTTAGTGCCCGCTGTGGAGCTGGGGAGATCAGGGGCTTCCCGTTAGAAATGATGTTAGTGCCATCCATGGATTCCTCCACTTGCCAAGCCTTAAGAAATCACAACGGTCGCAACATCTCAGGTAGGGCACTCTGCCATGTCAACAGATAGCAGAGACTGAACAGGTGCCAAATGCTGACATCAGGGTAGATAAGGGCTTCAGCCGCACTGTATTCTACAAGTCATGAAGAAAACGAGGCTGCTGTACCGACATGGGTACTAGGGCTGAGCTGCTCGATTCTGGGACCACTGCTGACGTGATAACAAGATTCGAAAATCATGTTTGAAGAAATATACTGCAGCCAAAGAAGTCTCGTATACTATCATCACCTCTATCTACTGTACCTAGATGATTGATATGAGTAGGAATAAAAGTCAAGGACAGTGGAATTGCACCTAGCCGCATAAAGAAGAGGCAACGGAAGGAACGAGGAGAAAAGAAAGGTCAGGACAGAGCACTCGGTCTGTGCCAACCAATCTATCGTAGATGCTCAGCTCGCATGTTCGATCATGGCATGAGAAATGTATGATATGGTGAAAGATGGTACAGTACCTAAAGTAAGTAAGGTCGATATAACTTACAATTTGGCCAGCAAAAGAGAAAGAGCCAATTGCAAGGCAGTATGTCAGTGGAATAAATACCTACCTGCATCTCAATGATGACTTCCTGTTAGCAACTGCTTTTAGTCTCAACTGCTTGTCGTCAGTCAATCAGTCAACCAGACAGTCAGCCCCAAGCAAGCGCGATGTTTGACTAGACACACCTAAAGTCTTGGCCCCATAAGTAGTCACGCGAGTCTGCATCAACTGCCTGCTGTCGTCTCCTAGGTCCTGCACGTATGGAGAGAAGCACAATTGAGTCACAGATTAAGTCAAGTCACCAACATAGAAAAGGCTGATTGCTAATTTGTCTTTTTCTTCTGTAACCACCCACATTGCCTGACCGCAAGGATTCATGGCTACTCGTAGTTTTGTCACCCGTCATGCAATCCAATACATGGATTTCAATGAGGTAAGGTCGGTACCTACAAGTAGGTACTAAGTCAGGTATTCTAGAAAAGCACGCCAAGCCGAAACAGGCCTAGACCCTGGGAATTGTTTCGGGCCCACTATTGGTTGATCCTGTCCCCTTCCCCCAAATTTCTCGACCTTGCCGTCTTGGTCGCCCGCTTGTGACTTTTCTGAGAGCTCCTGGGTAGATCCGTCCCAAATTATTATCATCATCCCCCAGAGACCACTGGTTCACGGGCTCTTCCTCGCCCTTCACTTCCCTTCTCGCCCAAGACCCTTTCTCGAAAGGAGCTTGTAAGCAGGAGGTCTTGATTTGATCCTCCTTTTCTTTCTCCCTCTATCCTTCCTCCACCTCTGGGCCTCCATTCTTAAGCTCTCCACCCTCCAACTTTGGCGACCCTTTTCCCCCCAAAAGGAAGTACGGTTTTCAACAGCCCGGCAACCGCTCTTGATCCTGTCGGGTTTTCCCACCGTTTCTTTTTCGATTCTAGCCTGCCGGCTCTCGTCCAGCAAGACATAACATTCCACGAGCTGCTCGACGCTCTCCGAATCCGACACTTCGATCTTCATCGAACTGGTCGACATAGCCCTACTGGCCGCTTCAAGCTGATAAAAGGGGCCATAAAGAACGGATGCAAATTGGCACAATTCTCGAGCACAGTTCTGTTGGGTTCCCATGCATTTGCCTCTGGCCATAACCGTATTGTGATACCGGACACTCTGAGCGCAGCAGAGTCGAGCCACTCTCCCACGAGACAGCAAAGACAAAGCCGCACAGATTCGGTAGCGTGGCACTCGAGCTTACTGGCCGCCCCAGCTGCTCCCGCCCACTCACGTACCGCAGCGCCATTCATTCAGAGACACTTTTCTGCCCGCCCCAGTTTCCCGCACCACACACCACCACCAGCGCACACCACACCTCCCCTCCCCCCCCCCCCCCCCCCCCCCCCCCCCCCCCCCC